GGGAGACTTATTTAAGTTTTAACTGCTTTGTATGTGGAAATGTTGTCCTAAAACATGGCCAAAAAAAAACGTTTGTTTTAACCACTTTTTTGTACCTTCCTGAAACTTAGCTAGAGAACACTTGTTTAAGTTTTAACAACTTTTCTGTGTAAGGGAACTCTATCCTGAGACTTGGCTAAGGAGAACTTCTTTGAGTTTTAACAAATATATTACATGTAAGGTTCTGTTTTGAAACATGACCAAAAAGATTTCCTTGACTTTTAATAATTTTGTTGTATACGGAAATTCTGCCTGAAACTTGGCTAAAGGAAGCTTGTTTGAGTGTTAACAACTTTTTTTTGTATGAGGAAACTCTGTCCTGAGACTTGGCCAATGGGAGACTTATTTAAGTTTTAACCTCTTTCAATGTGGAAATGTTGTCCTAAAACATGGCCAGAAAAAATGTTTGTTTTAACCACTTCTATCTTCTTGAAACTTAGCTAGAGAATACTTGTTTAAGTTTTAACAGCTGTTCTGTATGAGGAAACTCTATTTTGAGACTTGACCAACGAGAACTTGGATTTTAGCAAATATATTGCATGTAAGGTTCTGTATTGAAATATGACCAAAGAGATTTCTTTGACTTTTAATAATTTTGTTTTATGCAGAGATTTTGCCTGAAACTTGGCTAAAGGAAGCTTGTTTAAGTGTTAACAACTTTTGTTTGTATGAGGAAACTCTGTCCTGAGACTTGGCCAATGGGAGACTTATTTAAGTTTTAACTGCTTTGTATGTAGAAATGTTGTCCTAAATCATGGCCAAAAAAAAACGTTTGTTTTAACCACTTCTTTGTATCTTCCTGAAACTTAGCTAGAGAATACTTGTTTAAGTTTTAACAGCTTTTCTGTATGAGGAAACTCTATTTTGAGATTTGATCAACGAGATCTTGGGTTTTAGCAAATATATTACGTTATGATTCTGTTTTGAAATATGGCCAAAAAGATTTCCTTGACTTTTAACAATTTTGTTGTATGCGGAAATTTTGTCTGAAACTTGGCTAACGGAAGCTTGTTTGAGTGTTAACAACTTTTATTTGTATGAGGAAACTCTGTCCTGAGACTTGGCCAATGGGGGACTTAGTTAAGTTTTAACTTCTTTGTATGTGGACATGTTGTCCTAAAGCATGGCCAAAAAAAAAACGTTTGTTTTAACCACTTCTTTGTATCTTCCTGAAACTTAGCTAGAGAATACTTGTTTAAGTTTTAACAGCTTTTCTGTATGAGGAAACTCTATTTTGAGACTTGACCAACGAGAACTTGGGTTTTAGCAAATATATTGCATGTAAGATTCTG